GAGAGAAAAGGCTCCAGTAGCTTCCCGGGTTTCTCTTGACTGGGCAGTATTTTTCAAGGAAGGAACATTTATGTGCCAGGAATGTTTGAAGGAAAAATGATGCTTAAGCTGTATCTTAAAGAGTAGCTGGAATTGTTCAGAAGGAGAGTCAGTTAAACTATTACAAAGATGTTTAAGTGTTTCCTTATATTGTAACCCCCCCCATTATACTAGAACCAGAGCATTGATAGCTGGGAAAAGGTTCTTAGACAGAATGACAGGAAATAAGAGATCAACAGAGGTACTCCTCCATGAGAAAGTTCATAATATACATTTTAAATATAGCAGTTTCAGTCGGTGTGATCTTTTGTCCACTTTTAAAAATTTATTATTTTCAATAATTAAGTCAACATACAAAGTAATGTGTTCATTCTAACATTTTACACATACATGATACACTTTGTTTCCCTCCCTGCCACCCCCAGTCCCTCTAACCCACTCTTGCTCTTCCCCTTCACTTATTAATAGCCCACCCCTCTTTCATATCACGTGTATTCTATTACTAACCCCCTGCCTTTTAAAGATCTACTCCTACCATCTCATGGCCCCTTTCTAGTTTCAACTCCTACCCCCACCCACCCAGATATTCACGTATAAGAGAAAACATGCAGTTTTTATCGTTCTTAAACTGGCCTAGTTCACTCAACATAATGATTTGGTTTCACCCACTTTTTTTTCTCCCTGAAAATGCCACAATTTTACTTTTCTTCTTGGCTAAATAAAGTCCCATAATGTATATAATCACAATTTCTTTATTCTTTCATAAGTGTATGAATACTGAAGCTGGTTCCATTTCCTCCATGTTATGAATAGTGCATTAATAAATACGGGTATAGAAGTATCCCTGTAGTAGTAGAGACATAAAGTTGCATCATATGGTGATTCTACTCTTAAGTTTTTGAGAAACCTTTCTATTAATTTCCATGAGGGCTCTACCAGTTACATCCCTATTAGCAATAGTTAAGGGGTTTTTTCTCATAGTTTTGCCAGAATTTGTTACCATTTGCTATCTTGACAGCAGTCCTGACAGGGTGAAATGGAATATCAAAGCAGTTTTATTTTGCACTTTCCTTCTAGATAAGACTGTTGAGCACATTGCAAAATGTTTATTGGACATTTGTGCTTGACTTTCAACCTATATTAACCTGATGATTTTGATGTTTAATTTTTTTCAGTGCTTTATAGGTTCTATGTGTTCGTAGAGAAGTACAAAAGACCCCACAAAGCCAAAGTAATTCTAAGTAGAAAGAACCTGGTGAGATACCTGACCTTATATTATATACTGAAGCAATAGTGACAAAAACTGTGTGGTACTGTCACAAAGACAAGCATGTAGACCAATGGAACACAGCAGAAGACTTAGAAATAAGCATACACAGTGACAGCCAACTAATTTTTGACAAAAGTGACAACACATGCATTGGAAAAGACACCTTCTTCAGCAACAGATTCTGGGAACACTGAATATCCACATTAGAACAGTGAAACTAGGTTCCTATTTCCCAGCTTACACACACAAAAATCAAAGCAGATCAAAGACCTAAATACAGAAATTGAAAATTTGAAACTGCAGGATGGAAATATACAAAAACATTCTTCAAAATATAGGCCGGGCATAAGCACAGACAAGGACCTTCTGCAAAGGGCTCCAGTAGCAGTGGAAACAATCTCATAGGATCACATTAAATTAAAAAAGCTCACACACAGCAATGGTCACCATAGTGAAAAGACTGCTTAGTGCATAGTGGGAAAAAGTCTTTGCCAGTTATATCAGAGGACATTTTTTGTTCTTTGCCTTTTGATTTGCTTACTTTTTAAAATGATACTTTGAACTATTGTAGAAAATATGAAACAATTATATAATGATAAAATCATTAACCTATCACTTAAATTTTTTAATTTTTGCTTTGTTGATATCTACCCATCTCTCTAAATTTTTATTGGTGTCTTTTTATATTGTGTTTTAAAGCAGGCCTTAATATCCCTCATTTCTAAACACTTCAGGACATATATTTTAAGTTTGTTTAAGGGAGGTGGATACATTGTGGCTATCACACGATTTGATAAGTTTTGGGAAAGGTGTATACTTCAAATTCTATGACAATCTAGCACACTAGATTCATCCTTACAGTGCTTTTGTGTCCTCTTGCATGGAACCAGGCTCTCATCTCCCAAAGGCAATTGCTACTGTGATCTTTTAACCACAGATTAGTTTTGTGTGTTTCAGAGCCTCATATAATCACACCATACAGTATATTATATTTTGTGCAAATTTCTCTTCTACTCTGAAGGAGGTTTGAGAGATTCATACACACTGTGCTGTTATCAGGAGTACAAAACTTTATTTTCAAGTGGTGCAGGGTTATCTGGATACATCTTCCTAATGAACACCTATGCTATTTCTTGTGTTTGAAGAGAGCTGCTGCGTATATTAAATCTTGTTGTTTGTACCACTTAGAAATGGGTATGTATGATTTGAACAACCAAAGCTATACATTTTTACTTCTCTTTGCCTAATCTTATATTCTAAAGGCCACTACTTAGTCCATACATTCCTAGTGCTGTACTGTATCTGGATGTTTATTTGCCTTGACTTTGCTTAGCAATTAAAAGAAAGCTGCAATTAAGTTTTTGACATTTTTTAAAATTCTGTTTATTCTGTAGTCATTTGTAAGGTACTACAAGGTACTTTTCTTATTTGGGGGAATGTACTAACTTTGTTATTATCTTTAACAATAGACATTGTGGAGACACATCATGCATGCGTCACCCAGTATCCCAAGAGCAGGAGAAGGGTCTCAGCACAGAGGAGAGGGAAGAGAGTAGTAGAGGTGTAATAGGTTGATGAGGAAATCTTCCTGGGGCTAGTGTAGATGCTTGAGTCTAGGACTTGGAGAAACTTTCCCATGCGACATCCTTATTGGTAAGATCCTGTTTTGTCTAACAGGTGCTAGGGCTAAGAAGTCAATATTTGCCAGGTCCTAGTCTCCTGGTTTTCGTCTATAATCGATATTTCAGTGCAATTATTTTAGAGGTACAGTCCCACTATGTAGCCCTTGGTACTGTTGCGGCTCCCAAGTATTGGGCTACAGGCATACAGATATACAGGCATACAGGCATACAGATATACAGGCATACAGGTATACAGATATACAGGCATACAGGTATACGGGTATACAGGCATACAGGCATACAGATATAGAGACATACAGGTATACGGGCATACAGGCATACATACACTATACGCCACATTCTACTGTCAGCTCATTTTCATAACTGCTCATTAACAGTTTCCCTGATGTGATAGGTTTGATGTCTGCTTCCTACCACCAGGAAGTCTCCCTCAACTATGTAGACACCTGTGCACACACACGTGGACACATCAGCATTAGAAAAATACTTCTGTTGAAATGAAAAGAATGTGGCATTATGATCCTTATGTGATTCAAGTGTTTGAATTTAAATGTTACCCTGAGGATAGACGGGTGCATGCTTCCATTTCCCTTACGGTCGTGTTGAGTCTTCTCAAGAAAAGCCCACAGAATCTCAGAGTTCCTTTCTGGTTTATTTCTGATACCCTAGACATTTAATATGCCATTGGCTTTTGGAGACAGGCAGGTTTTTATACTCGTGCATATCCCTACAGTATAATACTGTCCTTCAATGTTGTGGGTTGTCTTAATAAATTCTAACTATTCATAGTTATTCTAAAATTTAGTTGAACCCAGACCAACATGAAACTTCAGACAAGCTCTTAAGGAGCCAGTCAGCAAGAATACTGAGGACCTTAGCCCACTCTCCCAGAGGCTCATCATCCCAGAAAAGCAGGGGAAAGTAGAGGCTTCCTATGGAGACTGATTTCGATATACTGGGTATTAGTCAGGTAAAATCGAAGGCTAGGTCCTTCCTGGCAGCTATCCAGTGTCTACTCCCGTCATTTTCTCGTAGGACACTGACTTTTCGCATACTTTCATTTTCACCTGGGACTTGATCTGCCTTCAGTTCCTTCTCCTCCTCCCTCTTTCCTTCTCTTCCCCCTTTCTCTCACTCTTTCCTTCCTCCTTCCCTTTAAGCTAAGGGAAGCAAATTCTATCTATCATCTATCTATCTATCATCTATGCATGTGTCATAGTGTGTATATGTGTGGAAGTCAGAAGACAAATGGTGGAGTTACCTTATCTCCTTCCATTGTGTACTTTCCAGGTATGCAACCCAGGCTGTTTGACTTGGTGCCAAGTCTTTTTATGCATTGAACCATCTCACCTAACTCTGGCTGGTTTTGTTTGTTTGTTTTAAAAGAACTTATTTTTATACAAGGCTTTAAAAACTTCTATTATTTAATGATTAACATTCATAGATATTCAACCTCCTAGTTCTCTTTTGCCACATTAAAGACCAGTCTCCTCTGTGACTGTATTATACACACCGGCAATAGTATTGAATTAGACATTTGATCTTTTACCTTATATGACTTCTTTAACACTGTTAGTAGGGACATTCACAAAAGAGTCCCCTAAAACACATAAAGCAACTTAACTCACTTTTGTGGCTACTTTTCTTACTATTCAGTCTATGTTATCACATATGAATGTCTGCCAGTTTTGTTTTGCCTACAAATAGCATGTGAAGGTCAGTGATTTCATACCAAGGTCAGGAGTGTCCTCAGGAAGAGTCTCAGTGGCTTCATTCTGAGGAGGACTCACAGCTGCATCTTCTGATATCTGCACCATCTTGTGTTTGTTTCTATTTTAGAGTTGTCTGTCTTATCACTTGGGCATCAAAATTGTACTTCAGGGTAGGTTCACTGTTTGTTTTATTTCCACCTCATTTTAAATGTGAAATCCTAATTGTAAGTGGCAGGTTCATAGGTTAAAGTAGTTTGGGGAACTTTCTTTATGGCAAGTAAAATCCTAAAATCTGCATTTCAGTGAGCTGATTTTATTTTATGTTTTCCCCCTTAGGAAAAAGATGACCACTTTGAATCTGTTCAGCTGAAATCCTCAAGATGCCCCAATATATGAAGAGACAGTGCTGTAGCTTTCAGACCGATGAGCAAGGACACCCGATCTTTAGTTTTGCAGGACCCCTGTTAGGACTCATCCTCACACCTGTCACGTCTGTGATGTCACAGAGGAGGTGTGCCACCAAGAGGAGGAGGCAGACATACTGATTGCCTTATAACACGTCACATACTTTGTCAAACTACAGAAGACAAATGTTCTGGGTCTCACTGAAGATGAAGCTTAACTCAGGAAGAGATTTAGCTGTATATACACATAACTGAAACCCAAGTTTAAGCCCACCAATGCACTGCTGATGCATGCCATATAATTACTGGGTAACTTTAATTCTTCATAATGTCTACATAAAAACATGTGTGTTAGAAGGCAGACATAAGCATATGCCTTGTGTTCCCATGTATGTCTTGGTCTTGTCATTTGGGGGAAGATTTGAGAGAAAAATTTATGTTATAATTATTTTCCCTTTATTTCTCCAAGACTTGAAGACATCTTTTCTATTAAAATGATGAGTGATGAAAGACAGTAAATTTTCATAGGATATTTTCTCTTGACTTCAGAAGCCTAGGATGTCAGTAATATTTTTGCGAAGTTATTTACTTGGGTTATCAAAGTTGATTCTTGCTTTTAAACTCTACCTTTGTTGGAACTAGTATGAAGAAATTAACTAATTGCTTGAAGGAATCTTAAGGGGGAGGGAATAATATCCAAGGAGAAGCCTCTGCATTCCATTAATTCAAATAATCTCGTATGATCAGAAGTCAGAGGGTGGTTTAAGGCAGTTTGAGTGTTGCTGAAGAGCAAAGCAAGTGGAACACCTTGCTTACCAGTCATGAAGAAGCAGGAGGATGGTTTGTCTTTTTTACAGATGGGCAGCTCAGAGGCTCCACAAATGTCTGCTGGCCTGTCCCTCCATCAGGTAGCCCCCCCCAGAGCTTTGGTGGTTTTCTAAATTTTTCCTTTGCTACAAGACTTTTAGGGTTATGAATTTCTTGGAAAATTTTATTTTTAGGCCAGTAAGGAAAAAATTCAATTTTTGAAATGTATATCCTTGTATTCATAGTAAGAATCTTATTAGCAGTTACGAAATATGTATTGTTCCTGTTCAAAAGTAACCCAGAAAACTGTGACATTCTTTATGATGGATTATGAGTATTAGTGTGACTTGGATATTATTTTTGGAAGAAGTTTGAAGGTTAATTTGGTCAATTTTGTGTAAACTCTTAGCACTGGGAAGGAGGAGAGTATCTTGCCCATTGTTGGTCTAAGATGTTCTGTTTTGTTTCCAGTAAACCGTAATCTTTACAGATTTTTAATCCAAAAATTTGAAAAGAGTTTTGATTGTCTGAAGGAGGCAAGAGCCCTATGTTTTTGCCTGAGGTGTTTCTGTGACTTGTAACGTTTGATTCTGTGGGTGATGTAGTCTTTATTTTTGTGAAAAATGGGAGAAAATGAATAAATGAATAATTGTTCTTATTGACCAGTGGGTAAAACACTCGACTTTGTTGCCATCACTAAAAGATGGTTTTATGTGTATGTGTGTGTGTGTGTGTCTGTTATTAAATACAGAAATAGATGATGTATTATTGTTTGTCTGAGAGAATGTTACTTAGCATTTTTGCATTTAATTTCTAAGATATTCCTCTGAATAAGAAACTATTTTGACTCTGTTCATTTTTGTCCTACTATCAGAATATTGGCATTTTTTCCCTGTCATAATCAAAATGTAATCACAAGAGTGGAAATACACTTGAAATGTCATTCAGAGGAAGCCAGCAGACTTGTGAAATCAGACTGGACAGGGTCAGAGAGCTCCTTCCATTACCATCACCATTTCTTTCGTCTCCTGCTCTGCTCAGCACCCATGTTTCAGGCCATAGAGATAATTGGGATTTGCTCGCAGGTAGATCTTTCTCTGCTTGTCACTGGACCAAAATCTGACATGTCAAAAATGCCTTAAATTTTAATGAATTCTCTGAAAATGCAGTTGATATTGAAGAAGTTATTTATTTTACTTCTAACTTTAGATATTAAATAGAATTTTGTCATCTCAGTCCCATCTTTGGATTCCCCTGGCTTGTCATTTTATTCTAAGAGCTAAAGAAAAATGACAGAGAGAATATTATGAGGACAATAGGCAGACCAATTTTAGATATACAATTCTGCTTAGTTTTATGTATGGCCTTTGATAAGCCCAGTGAAATAATTGACTTATTCCTCTTATCACTACTAGTGCTAGAAAAATATATTATTTGTTTTCTTTTTCTACATGGCATGGTTTAGAGCCTTAAGTACTTCATTAAGTCAGCTGTTGCCTATAACGTCTCTTAGCGCTGTATCAAAACATATTTCAGTCAATTTCCTACATGTCTTCTATGGATTAGTTATATTATACCATTTAATAATGTTGAGCAATTTGATATGTATTCACTTGATTTAAAAGACTGAATTTTGTTATTATTGACCTCTCACCTCTTTGGTTACTAATAATCATATCCTTCTTAGGATTAAAAACATTTCATAATACCTTTGTGTAAATTTTTGTCATTATTCTATCCCAAAATGATAGTTTCAATCAGTACCATGGAAAAATTCCTTGAGTTCAGTTATTTACCATCTGGGTTCTGCGGTGGTTTGATAGCAGTCAATTTTGCTTCTATAAATCCCACCTGGCCAAGTGTCATCTCATGTTTCCCATGGCTCATGGCCATTCCTAATGGGAGGCTAATATGCTTCTGTTTTCCTCCTGAAAGCCAATTACTTGGTTAGTGTGGGATGTGTTGCTCACTTATGTTCTCATATTGATGGGTAGAAAATATCTTCTGAGGATGGGATGTTGGCATAAAAATAGTATGAATTCTTGAGACCTAGTACCAAGGAGGCTTCCCTGCCTTATTTATGGCATCTGTTCATGTATGGTATACCTCAGTGCTCACCCATTTACCAGACCCTGTGTTATTTTGAAATTAAAAATTGCATTTAGTCTTTCTTTAATGATTGTTGGTTCAGCAAACACCTCCAATTTCTTTGAATGAAATGTTAAAACCTTGGTTAGCTGGATTTTTCTTCATTTTAGTAACTCATGGGAGGGGGCTCCTTTTAAAATAGCTTATGACTTTTGGTGAAATTAGAGTACATGGAGCAGTATTTCCTCTATGTCAGATCACTGATTTCAAAATTCTATTGGCTGCATTTCGAACAAAAGTGTATACCAGTAAATCATGTAAATCCAAGCCTCGTGCTGTTGCAGAAAAGGGTAGGCAATCGCCCTGCCTCTGGGTGTGCACCCTTGCCTCAGGGTTCTAGTTCAAATTTGTCTTTGTGGCTTTTTTCAGCCCTGCCCCCCACAGCCTTTTTCAGACCAGCCATGGGATTGGAAATGATCAGGACAGGCAAGTGGACAAAGAAGGCTTGTAAAGACAGAGATTACCTTTCTCAGCCATTCTTCACACCTGTCCTCTGCGCTGTCCAGAAGCCAGCTTGCCCAAGTTTTAAAATAGGAACGACTTTACTTCACCATGCTAAACTTGGGTGGGCAGGAAAATCTATTAATTTTTAAGCTAGAGAGGATGCTGAGTACAGTAACTATTCAGAAACACAAGGCAAGCAGACAGCTAGTTTCTAAAGGTTTCTTTTATGAATAGGACCTATTATTTAGTTTGGATGTCTAACTTAGGGAAGGTTAGCAGAGATGGACCAATCAGTTTTACATTTGGGAAGGATGAAATGTTGTTACTAATGTAGAAAAAAAGCTTCCAAACCTGTTTTTTTAAATATAAAATGGCTTCCATTAAAAAATCTCATAGTATCTGTTTTCCATACATATGTTGAATACTTACATAAATTATTTCTAGGGATCATATGGTGGATGGTGCATTTTCTCGTTAGAAATAAGGCTTATAGCATGGATGGAGAAAGTGGCAAGAGCTTCCTGTTAATGAAGTTTCAGTGTCCTGACAGGGTATAAAATATAAAACATATAAGATATAGTGGGTATGGATCAAAACCCAGCCCTCAAAACTACAGTTTTCTCATGATGTAGACGTGACCCTGATTGTCTTGCTTTACGATCCATGGTCGGCTCGCTTGTTAGAGGTGTCAGCTGCAGCTCTGAAGAACCCAGCTGACAGTGCCTTCCTCAGACTGTCGCCTTCTACCAGTAGATGGAGCACTTGTTCAGCCGTTATCCTGAGCAGACGCTCCTCCTGAGCGTGCTTATCATCCATCTCTCCTGCCAACTGCAGTCAGAGTAGAATTTGGTTTGTGAGTGTCTGTATACATGCTTACCCACCCTAGCCCAGGTCACTCCCAAATTGCAGGTACTCACTCGAGTGTGAGGATTCAGGGAGCAGTGAGCATCATTGTTCTCAGCATCCTTAGGTTTGGTCCTTCAAGCTCACGCAAGAGAGAACATTGCCTAGTATCCTTTTCCTTCAAGCGCAATCCCTTTGGCCTTCATGACCCTGCTCATTATTTTTAGATATATTAAAAGAGCTATTACTATATTTACTATTCCAAATACTGCCTCTCGTATATTTAATTCTTCTTTCTTTCTCAGTCGTTCTGGGCCACAAGTCCTGCTTTTAAAATATTTTTTCATGAACTCAAAGCAAATACTTTAGCAACTGAATTATAACTACAGCTCTAGTGTATACTTTTAAACTGCATTGGTCTTCCTCTTATCAGCTAAATAGTGACCTCAAAAATGTGTCCACATCCTAGGCTCTGCACCCTGAAAATAGAATTTTATTTTAAATCTAAAAAAATAAAATAAAAATAAAAAACAAACCACCATACCACCACCACCACCACCACACAAACCAAATGAATGGCCTCTTCAGATATAAGAATGTCAAGGTGATAGTATCCTGTATTATCTAGGTAGCTCAAAATCTCATGACACATGACATTTTAAGAGACAAAGGACAAGACAGAGACAGTGGGGATTATGATATGAAGACTGAACAGAGTTTGAAATGACATGTCCATGAGCCACGGAAGCTACAGGTGCAAGAAAAGGAATGGAATTGATTATTTTTTTGAATCCATAAGGCAGCCTGTGTAAGAATTCAGGCTTCAGGCTGGCATAATGCCTGAATCCTTACAACCTGGTCCTGCTGATTCTTGTGACAGAATAAATTTCTGTTGTTTTAAGCCATATAGTTAATAACATTTCCCCCCATTATCATAAGAAACAAATGTACTTTCTGCCCTTAGTATGTGATAAAGGTTCTACAGATAGGTGTATTCTCAATATTTTTCCAACAATAATAAATTATTTGCAACTAAAAGTTTGTTAGAAACAGGGTAGTATTTATTTACTAAAGTTTTACCCATACTATTCATGCCTTACTTTAGATTAGTAAAATATTTAAATTTATGATAAGCTTGTGTGGTAGAACATCATTCCTAGGACTTGGGAAAGCAATGGGAAGTAAGATCTCCAGGATTTTTACTTCTCCATTCATCTATTAAAGACAATAGTGATTTCCCAATGGAATTATTTGATGTTTTCTTATCTTTTCTATGGTTATTTTTGAACATCAGCTTCATCAGACCTTTCCTGGTGGGTCATAGCTCAGCTCTCTATTCAGGATATATGGAAGACTTTATCTCCTTTGACAGATCTGGACTGTAATATAGACATAGCTTTAAAAAGATAACTTATATATCATCATGAGCTAGTCTTATATTTATGGTGTCACCCCTTGCCAATTTCTGATCAGTATTATCTGTAGAAAAGTAGAGTTCTACTCACAACTCTCTGGCAGGGCTACAACTCAATTCAAATATGTGACTGTGAAGAAAAGTGCAGTTAGACAATTACTTCCAGCATTAACAAGAGAAGGTGACTTGAAATCTACATATTCAAATTACCTTGAAGGACAAACGGTTATCCGCCATGCTTGAAAACCTTGAAGGTTTTATTCTGGTTATCTTTACATTAATACAGATGCTTTTTATTTTATACCGAGAAAAACAATCTGTAACACGTAATGTAACTTTAATATACAACGTAGAAACTCACCCTAAATTAGTTACAAGAACCTACAAAAGACTTCATAGGAAAAGTTTACCTAATATTGCCACGGTATAGGGATTTTTTTGTTTGTTTGTTTGTTTTGTTTTAGTAGACTGACCCTGTCAGACCCTGTCACCAGTGCTCAGCTCTGTAAACAATGTTATTTCCATGTTTGGGGAGGGGGTCATTAGGGGCACTAAAATCAGCCTAGAAAGTTGTAGCACATCGCTATATACCGAACAGTCCTCAAAAATAATTTATTGTACTGTTTCTAAAAAAAAAAAAGGTGCTAGGTTGATCTTTTGTTCTGTTTCCGTGTTCTGGGGCAGCATGTGAGCACTTTGTCTAACAGCCTAAGAACATGAGAACTGAACTGCGTGTCACAGTCACAGAGATGACGTGGTGGAGTCGAGGACTTCCCTTCCGTTGCACACCGTCGGGACATACGTGCTGGCAGACGCTGCAAAACAAAGTGTGACAGAAGGCTTAGTTGAGCAGGACACTTAGTTAATGACGTAACACTCCCAGACATGGCTAAGACTAAATTAAAAACCCATCTTAACGTGGCTTTGGAAAATGTTTACTGATTTATGCTATAGTAGATAAACTGTCTAAATATTTTCTGCTCATTAGTTTGTATCCCAGAATGTGCCTCCTCATGCCATGCCTCTTGGAAAGGGGATTTATAAGCATAATCTTTGCTGAAAGAAATCTCTCATGGGTTGAAGATTAGACTTATTCATCTATAAAATGGTTAGAATATACTGAATAAAACGAAGAGCCCTATAATTTTCTTGTAGGTGATTAAATTGTTTCCTATATTCAATAATTGTAATTGGTTTTGATCTCTGATCAGGGATGACTCTTCTTTATCTCCAGGGGTCCTGTGTGAACTCTACTGCCTTAGAAACTGGTATGATTTCACTGTTTGTGTTCCCTAGGCTCTGTGAGGGCTCGGTAAAGATGAGTGCTGAGGGCTTTGACTCCTCAACAGTTCTTGAAATGAAAGCATTCCAAAGAGCCTTAATGACAATGGTGGTCTAAGTGTCATGCTGCCTGTGGAACATAGTGCGAAGTCACTCTTTTGTAACAGTTTTCTCAGATGCAATTTCTACCGTTAACATCTTGGTTTTGTGTGATGTTTATCTGTAGGAGGAAGTCTGTATGCCGGCATTAAACATGTGACTTACTAGAGGCGCATACAGATGAGGTAATAAAAGGGCGGTTTACCACACCGCTAACCACACCCACTTTAGGCAGGACTAAAGACGTATACGGCTGGACGTAAAGACGTATACGTACGTAGGCGGTGAACTACGTCACTAGCCAGGCCCATTTTTGGGCATAGCTAGGGGGCGTTACGGTCTCTTTTCCCGGAGTTTGGCTTCCGGTTTGGCAGCAGGGGGGGGGGGACTACTTGGCTCATCTGGGTTACTTGTTTGGTATCTTGTGAGTAATTTCTACAATAAATACTTAGTTTTACTTTCAGTAAGTGTCGCTTATTGTTACAGCGTCATTTGGAGCTACATTTATCTACAGAGTATTTATATGTACTTTGCCCCTGATATTTTTTCACAGAATAAAGACATAAGAAGGAGCTTCATTCTTCCTTGGGATGAAACCATATGGCCAAGAGAATAGGCAAATGTGAGCTTACACTGCCTTTTAGGTCTCTACAACGATCCTAACATATATTCTCCCCCCAGGAACTGGGTCACCAGAACACAGTCTGGTTATGATTAACAAAATATCTTCCTGTTCCTTAAAGACACATGAACTCATTTCATTCTCAAATGTTTATGTCTGATAACATATATTATTGACCCATAAATTACTTTTTTTGTATAGCAATTTCTCTAAACACAAGGGAGTAACTAACAGTGAGATTGTAGCTTATGCAGCATTATAAGGGAATAGTTACCATATGCAGGGCACTGACATCTTGTAGCTGGGTACACTACTAGCCAAGCTGAAGCCTTTCTACTCAGTGATTTGAGTAGGCACGCAGAACATTTTTGAAGTCTGTGAACTGAAATGACTAGAGTCATGTAACAAGCTAAGTCTGTGCTAGATATTTTTTCCCTTTTAGCATAGATGAACCATATTAAGTATTTTTCTTTGTAGCCTCAGGTAGCTTCAAACTCATGATCCCCCTGCCTCTATTTCTTCAGAATATGCCTACTTGCATATGTCACCACATTCAGTTTCTTCCCAAAATGACTATAAATCTTTGAGGGAAGGGATGACATGTGATACATTTCATGAAGTTTCTGCTGTGGAGATAGTAATAACAGAGTATATGCCTAGCAAAATTTGACTGAGAGTAGTTATGATAATGATTCCAAATGTGAGACCTTTAGTAATTTAATACTTCTCCATTTTCATATGTTCTGTGAATTCCTAGAATCAGTAGAAGTTGGTAAGGCGAAAGAACAAGGTAATTAAACTCAAAACACAGATCTCTGGAAGCAGAGGGAGCACTCTGAGATACTCAGCATGTGCTTTCCCTGCATCCTAGCTGTTGGCTTGACATCTTAGTTGGGGATATTCAGCAGTCATTTCAAAACTGATGTCCACAGAGCTCTTGATCTTGTGTAGCCTTTCCCCAGTAAATGGTCTTCTAACCTAAACCAGAAGTCTAAAATTCATGCTTGATTTTCCCATGGCAAAGCTACCTTCAGGTGCAATTAGCTCTAGCTGTATGCTACCTTTGCATGTCTGACACTGTGCAAGCCACTATTAGTGAATTACACATGTGCAGAGACTGACAGGAGTGGTAGATACTATTTACATTTCTTCTGGTCATCTGCTTTCTACATGTTAGCAAGACTACAGTCAGCTCTCCACACCTGTGGTTCTGTTTTCACACACTCAACCAACCATAGAGTGAAAATATTCAGGAAAAACATGCATACTGATTATATTAAGAATTTTTCTTACATTCCCAAATATTGCAGTGTAATTACTATTTATACAGCTGTAAATTGAGTTTTTAACTGGTCTAAATAATAAAAACCCAGAGTCACATATACAGGAAATGCTGAGAGATCAGAGAGAAGGAGCAGCAAACCACAACCACATCTTACCTCCTTAGCCTTTCAGCAGGCAGCAGCATAAGTCCTGTTTCCCCCTGCTTGCATCCTGTTTCTGCCCAGCTGTCTCACCCACTATCTGTCTGTACAGACCTCCAGACCTCTATGGTTAGCTAGTGGCAAGCACCATTTTTCTGACCTTCAGACAGGCTTTATTTGTACAAGCGAGATACAACCACATACAGCAATCAGACTGTATTGACCATGATAAGAAATGTAGAGATGATCTGAATTTTATTGGAGATATGTGTAGGTTATTTGAAGGTTTAACCCCTGATGAGGAAGAATTTGTGAAGCCAGTTCCCTGAATACTGGGGGTCAGCTGCATTTTGAAATATGAGCCACCTACTTAGACACTTCCAGTGGCATCCCCTGTGCTTTCACTTGAGTTTAGAAATCTCAAATAATTGGACTGTACCTTTCATTCTGTTTTTTTTTTTTACACATCCTACATATTCCTGCCCCCTTTGCTTTGTTCTCTGAATAGCAATTCTGTTTCTCAACTTTGTGCCTTTGCCATAGCTATGGTTTCTACCAGGAACAGTGTCTCTAATCATCACATGCCTCATTCATGTCAGCTACAGTTGGACTGTGACCTTTTTGGAAAGATGGTTCTCAGTCATCCCAATCTAAAGTAACTCTCTGCCATATCACCCAGTTTGAAAATCCAGGCCTACACAGATGATGCTTCCAGTCTCCTCCTCCTCTCCCTCTTCCCCCAAATCCTCCTCTCCCTCTTCTTCACTGTTTTTTTTTTTAATTTTCCAGTTTAAATTTAGATAAGAAACAAGGTTGCTTCACAAGTCAGTTCCAGGTCCCTCTCCCTTTCCCTCCCCTCCTCCTGTGCCCTCCCCCCAACCCCCCACCCCGTTATCCCCTCATTCCCCCAGGGAGGGTGAGGCCCTCCATGGGGGTGTCCATAGTCTGTCATTTCATATAGGGCAGGGCCTAGACCCTTCCCCAAGAGTTCAGGGTGAGAATGCACCTCACATTGTTCTATGGGAGTCCAAAGTCCGTGTGTATACTTGGGATGGGTACTGATCTGCTGCCCAAGGCTCAATAGATTACCTAGGCCTCCTCACTGACACCCAGATTCAGGGGGTCTTGATCAGTCCCATGCTGCTCAGAAAATACACAGGAGCTCTGCTTATTTGTTTCACTATTAATCTCTAGTATGTTTCATGAATAGACCTTCTGTAAACATTTCCTGAGAGATTACATAAATATTTCCATTTCTAAGAGTGAGGAGATCAGAGGAAATTTTAAGAAGGGAGTGACACAGTTGTAAGGTCTGTAAGCAGCCTCATTTAGGACAGGTGAACTTTTCTGTTTCTATTTCACACTGAGGCAATGACTACCAGTTACCCTTGCAGAGAGAACTGGTTCAAGGTGAGAACCCCTGATATTAGGTATGCTGCCTTTGGCATTTTGACTAATTCTTTTGTCTTTTCTAGGATCAAGTTTTATGATTTCTTTGCAGGCTTTTCCTTTTCAAAGACTCAAGAGGAATGCTGATATATAATGGGGATAAGTCAAGGATAACCAAGGTCTGACATGCTGATGCTTCTGTTTTCCTTGGGCTAGTCTAAGCCCTTCTATATGCTTGTCTTGAGGCCATTTCATAAAGCTGTTCTGATGTTCCCAGTCTGCTTGTAGAATGTGATGGAACTCTGTTTTTTGAAGCACTCGCTCATGTGAGTTTTGCTCTCTGAATTTCAACTGCTTACCAATCAGTGGCACTTGACTAGGTAGGAGATACAATGGCTGCAAGGGTAGCTGGCTGTCTACTCCGTACCCCATGGACATCATTATGGAAGTTCACAGAGTACTCCAAGTCTTATCTCTGCTTGGTAGTGATATTAAAAGGGACATCCTCTGCTGGAGTACAAATTCTAGATCTGCTCCCAAAATAAAAATAGTTAAGATACCCATTAGACTCCTACAGGAACTTTCTCCCAGACCCTTTTTGGTCTGTTGAAGGGATTCCATTTTGTAAACTTCTGCTTTTCTTTTACTGTTTCTCTGTGGCTTTGGCCATTACATTTTATTATGTAAAAAAATCTTCCTTTTTTACATATGCTGCTGAATATAGTAGGAGAATTATTGTTTTATGAATTTACCATCACAAATACTTTGTTTTTCATAAATATTTTACATGTACTTCCCATATTAGCCCATTTGTTACTCCCCAAGGTAGTAAAATATGTAGAAAATCGAAATGCAGTCATTTTGCGTATGTGTGTGCATGTGTGTGTGCACGTATGTGTGTATATGCACTTGTGTTCTTGTGATGAGCCTTTGTTATTGTTCTGATGAACTCCTCATGAGTTTGGCCCATTTTCTTGAGTGTGACTAAGCAGACTCTATA